AAATAAGCAACTAAACTGTTTGCAAAACTTTCACCAAAATTGATATTCTCCAATTAACTTGGGTGATGTCCTAAATTCTTAAATTTGAAATGGATATTTTAAACATGGGGATATGTTACATATTGCATGCATTTTTAAAATTTGGGGAACATTTCTTTTATGCTAATAAACATGGTGCATGTCCACTTTATATTGAAATATCTGAATTTTCGAAAATTTCAAATGTTACAAATTTTGTTAACCATGCTTCAACTATATTATTGAAGACGAAGAATTTTATTTGTTTGGATATATCATCGGACAGTCAAGTTACCCACTTCACAATTTTTATTGACATAGTTATAAGTCTTTATTCGGAGTTAACACAATAAGTATAATTAGATTTCACTCTAATTTGGCAAATATTTGTTAGGGATATATTGTTTCATCTCTCTGTACTGTCAGTTGGAAGAAGGAAGAATCATTGTCCATGTGGGAGGTATTTTATTTCCCTTTTTCCATTTTAAAACAGTCTAATTCCCCTTAAGCATCCCTTAAGGTATAGATATCCAATGACGATAATGATTAAAATTCAGTGTTTTATTGCATTTCCAGTGCTCTGAATGAGAAATACACGTTTCTAAACTCAGAATATGAAACAAATAAGTGGAAAACACTTTTCTAATAAGATATTGAAAATACAATTTAAAAGGTTGAATTATTTCTATTTATAGAAATTCTGAATTTTAAAAATTATTTGCTGTTGTATCACTCCTAGTTTCACTTACTCAAAAAATGCTTTGGTATATATGTTGTGTAATTGTTATTTTCTTGAATTGCAGGATAGAAACTTACACAACAAAGTATTTGGCGGCTTTCTTATGCGTCAAGCTCTGGAACTTTCATGGACTAGTGCATATTTATATAGGTAAGATAATGTGCAATTTAGTGGAGGGTCATTCCACATCAACTCAATACAAGGAAAAAGAATATTTTTCTTGCTCCTTTACTAGTAAATTGCTTTTAACATAGTTGCATCAGAATCCACATTTTGTAGATTCTTGATTCCTAAAAAAGTGGCCTTTACCAGGTGCCTGTCTGACTGCCGGCCTGCCCGCCTGCCCACCCTCCATTTCACTGAAAGTGAAAGTTACAGACAAGTGCCCATGTCAAGGCCCCTTAATTTTGAAACGGATATTTGAATTTTTTCTTTAAATTTTTGCTTTAACCTTCTAAGTACCAAGAGGGGTGCAAAGTGACCCCAAAGGTATATTTTTCAACAGTTAAAGAGTAAAATGATAGAGTACAAGTAGTGTCGATTTTTTAATTTTTATAAGAGTGTCATAGATATTCAAATTTGTAGCATAAAAAGCAAAAATAATACCATTTATTTCAAAATAATAATTTTTCTCTTTCTCTCTCTCTCTCTTCCTCTCCCCCTCTCTTTCCCCCTCCCTCTCTCCCTCCCTCTCTCCCTCCCTCTCTCTCCCTCTCCCTCTTCTCCCTCTCCCTCTCTCTCACTCCCTCTCTCTCACTCCCTCTCTCTCTCACTCCCTCTCCCTCTCTCTCTCACTCACTCCCTCTCACTCACTCCCTCTCTCACTCCCTCTCTCCCTCTTTCTCTCTCCCTCTCACTCCCTCTCTCTCCCCTCTCTCTCCTCTCTCTCTCCTCTCTCTCTCTCCTCGCTCCTCTCTCTCCTCTCTCTCTCCTCGCTCCTCTCTCTCCTCGCTCCTCTCTCTCCTCGCTCCTCTCTCTCTCCTCGCTCCTCTCTCTCTCTCGCTCCTCTCTCTCTCTCGCTCCTCTCTCTCTCTCTCTCTCTCCTCTCTCCTCTCAATTTTGTATGTGAAAGACAAATATTTTGGTTAGAACTCGGGAAAGAATTAGTCACATGCCTAGCAACATTTACAGAATCCCATGGGCCTACTCAAAAATACAATAAATGTGATCTGAAATCTCATTCCAGAAGAAATGTAAGAGGTACACACTGCTGCAAAACAGCTGTCAAAGAGAAATACATGCCAGTTATGTCCTAGAAAGGTCAATAGAAACTGATTTCGTCCCTTATAATCAACAAGAAAGAAGGGGAAAATAGAAGAAAGGAAAACTTTATTCCTTCTTTTTTTATAATGTCTCTTGTTGTGATGCAGTTCATTTGTCCAACTGATTTGTCACAGAATGTCCCTGGAGAACATTCTTTCCTTCTATCTTGTTTCCCCTTTTCTAAATTTATTTTATTTTGTTATAGTATAAGAAAAGGTATGTAATGGTGTGCAAAAAAACGCCGGATTATCAGTAATTTTTTTTTTTAATTGCTGTTTTTTTATAATGAAAAAGTGGATAAATCAACTTGCTAAATTAAGAAAAAAATTCTCTTAACATGTGGTGTTGCCAGAATACCTGTTTTGTGGGTCCTTGATATTAAAAAATCAGTTGACATTTTCAAAATTTTCTCAAAAACACCTCCAAATTTTTTCTTTAATTTTCTTGTAAGAATAGAGAAAATAACACAAGTGTGATTTTCATGGTTAGCTTGGAATTTTTGAAAATTTCCAATGTTTGAATTATTCCTTCCTACAACTACAAAATTAAAGATAAATATTTTTACTTCCATTGAAGTTTGTTCTTCATAATCGGTTCTTTCAATAGGATCATGTAAATTTTTTGAAATTTTTAGTGTTTTCAACTAATATTGTGAGCAATACTTGCAATTTCAAAAAATTACAAAAACAAGATTTTCTCAAAAATGGCTTAAAATTTTTCTAAAAACTTTTGCTAAATGCACTCTATAAAATGACCTGTACGCCAAAATGCTTTATTCTTTTGTTTCCTCAAAAATTATAAAAAAATAATTTTTTTTGACTAGTCTCTCATTCAGTAATATTTACATTAGCGGTAATATGGTCATATTACTGTATTTATGAGTATATGTGCTTTACATAATGTCAGAATAAGTTCCTTGAAAACTCAAGACTTGGAGTCATCAAAATGGGTCATCAAAAAATCTTCAAGTTCTCAAATGCTGTTTTCACAAAATTGGCTCCAAATTTTTACTTCAAACTTTTCCAACAGATAGTGCTAATTGCACTGTTTAATATGACAAAAAGTTATTTTTCCTGTATTCTTTTTTTTTTTTCTTCAAAAATTACACAAATGTAATTTTTTTAAAATATTGCTCGTGCCTTTATTATGCACATTTCTGGTGATTTGTAAACACTATTGTGTTCGTGACTAGAAGTGCTTGAAATGACTTCGTACAAGGTTTTTCAAGAACTGAATAGTTTTTTGTGAAAAGAGGTTCAAATTTTGCATTGACACTAACGCTTAAACACCATTTCCTTAAAAAAGACTCCAAATTCTTCAGCGAAAAGTTTCATAGAGGATGATGTTTTGCTCTTCTTTAATATTTTTAAAGTAATAATTCGATTCTACTAATAGGAAACTAAAAAATTAAGAAAGTTTTTTGGGAGGCGATAATTAACAGCTGGCAAGAGAATGTGCCATGTCTGAATAGCTAGCAGAGACCAAAGGAAATAGAAAACTAATATGGGAAAGTCTGTGCCATTCTGTTACACTACTAGTTTGTCCTTTCTTTTTCTTTCATACTTTTTTATCTTTCTTTGTTTCTTCTATTCCCTTTCTTTCTTTTTATTATATTTTCTTTCTTTGGTGTCATTTAAATAACTTTTTAAAAAATTGGTTTGGTTTCAGCAAAGTGCGACCTAAACTGCTTCACATTTCTGATATTGGATTTTTCAAACCTGTGGATGTTGGATCTCTCCTGCAGATGCATTCTCATGTAAGAATTTTTTTTCTATTAAAAATTTCAATATACTGATATCAAAACAACTTGATTTGATAAAACGTCATAGTCATAAAACTAATCTTGGGGGCAGTGGGGGGGAGACCCATCTCATCCTGCAACAAACTTTGCATGTTCTTTCCATAGATATGATTCTTTTCTCTGTTATTTAATGATTTGAGGTAGATATGTAAAATATGCATGAATTGTTGAAGATATTTGCACTACAGAATTTCTCTTATGAATTTATTGTTAAAAACTGGGTATAATGATACAAGTTCTTTGGAAACTTAGGAGAAGGAAGATTTGGGATAATGGTTGAAGTAAATTTCACTCTTTCTTATTGCTCATAATATTTTCTGTATCTTCTTTGTATAAAGTGATTCATTAAATATTACTTTATAAAAAATAGCTTACACATTGTCTAAATTTGAGTTTATAAAAAGGGAAGTAAATCAAACATGTTTTATTTTTATCAGAATTTGGTTCTGATTGGTCATGGGAATCTATTAGCACTTCTTAATGAATATCTAAAGTATCCTCATTAACGAAAAGAAATGAATCCCTTGTATTACAATTTTATAGCAACACACAGCCACTAATATGTGCATTGTTTTGCAATGCACAGTTTTTTGGAAACACTAGTTTTTTTCCCTTCTCTCTTTTTTTCTCTCCCCTCTTTTTTCCTCTATTAATACAGTTTTCCTCGCTGGCAGTAGGCCAAATATTTATAAAAAAAATTGACCATGTGCAATAGACATCTTTATTAATTATCACTATTTTGTATGACTGTATTTACAAAAATCTGACTTTCGTTCAACCACTAATTTAATAATATTATTTATTTATTTTAAGGGTACAGACTACTAGCCATTGAATAAAAATAAACAATGACAATATATAATGATGAGTAAATCCAGTAAATAATCTAAGTTATAAAACAGTGTATGTATTAGAATAATTAAAGCAAACGTTATTTCTACATTTTAATGAAGTCATGTTTATTGTTAACATCTGTACTGTAATCATTGACAAGTTAACAATCCTTGACATATTCATGTTTCATTTTTCAGGTTATATATACAGAATTCAGTTATATAATGGTGCTTGTTCATGCACAAGTTTTGGATCCTAGTGGCATGTTATCCACAACTAACAATTTTTATTATGTATATGAAATGCCAGAGGAAGTGAAGAGTATTGTACCGGAGTCATACCACGGTAAGCCAGGGATGAGTAATCTGAAAACCAATTTTCGTAAGTCATGTCACCACGGGGAAGTATGATTTCATTCAGACTTCAATTTTAGATTTTCATTTTATTGTCTTTTATTTTTCATTGTATAGATCAGTGTGATAATCCTTTGATTAATTAAGTTCACCCATTCCCTGTATCTAGAGTTTCTTTAAAACATATTGTTTGGTTAAAACAGTTTTTCAAACATTCTGCCTTTGATCCAAAGTTCTGAAATTTTTAACTTCTTTGCATAATTTTCCAAAATTGCATAATTTCTGTATCTGGTATCAAAGGATCTGAGAAGTTTATAAGCAGATAAACAACAACCTAAAAACAATAATTTATAGAACATCTAGGAATCATGAGAGTTCTAGGTCCTCAGAATTACACAAGTACAGCAGGACTTAATTAAGATCCAATTGCCATACATTAATGCAGAGTGTTCACACTAAGGAAATGTCAAAACTTCGAAAATAAGCTTTTAAGACAGCTTTCGGCATATTTTGTGTTATAAACTCCTTGGATATTCTGAATGGTTGAGCCGAAATAAGCACTCAAAAGTTGGTTTGCAAAATCCTTTCTAGGCAAAAATTTGCATTTCAGAAACATATAAACACTCCAGAAACATTTAAATTGTTTGTAATTTACAAAAGAGTGAATGACTTATGAATTGGTGTGGGGGTGGGGTGTATTTCCCTTCAGACTGCCTTGGGTACTCCGCTGCTTTTGACATGTACATATTGGCACTGTGCAAATAAAATGAAGTATACTAGTGGAATATAGAACTTCAAAAATCTTGCTTTATGTATGTTTGCTCACGTTTTGGGTCACATTTATTGGCTTCTGGTACATCAAAATGTCAAGCCATAGCAATATGTATGACTGTATTCGTAAATTTATTTTTTAAAAGACGATAATTCTTAATTAATAAATGCCTAACTATGATTCTTACGAAAATGAGTGTCTCTTCTTCTACCTCGCTGTACTCGGATATGTTAATTTTATACTTTTTATGTTTGTTTCAGAGGCTATGCTGTTCTTGGATGGTAGGCGCAAATTTCAGTATGTAATGGGCTTAAATAAACCTCCCAGCTCGTCCAACAAAAAAGATCCCAACGATATTCCTCAGTCACCATATACTACTACTAGTAGTAGTAGTAGTAGTAGTAGTAAAATATAATAGGGAGGGATTCAATAAATAAGTTTTTATTATTTGATTCTGTGATACTTTTCTAATTTTTATTCTATAAATATTTAATTAATACTTGCTAAAATATGTTGATCATTTTCACCCTAAGTAACTTATTAAGGAGTTATTTATTACCATTTTATTGCCTCTGGTAGGCCTCGCTATTTTAATTTTTTGTAATTTACGCAACAACCTTTGAGTGACATATAAAATATGTGATGAGGTTAGTTTTTTCTATTACCGAAATGTATTAAGTGCCATGGTGCTATGTAACCTTCTTGTTCTTACTCTAACAATGGTTATTGGTTTTGCTGATGGATATTATTATTATAATTAATATCATTACATTGCCTTTGGTAGGCTTTCCTGTGTTTGTATTTGATACTTTGTATTTACACCTCAGTCTTGGACTGACTTATAAAATGTATGAAAGGGGGCGGTTTTTCCTTTTATGAAAATATATAAATAGTTATTGTTCTGTCTCGTTACTCAGAAAGTGACGAGAGGTTTTGCTGATGCTGGTATCATCATTAAATTAGAAATAAACTTACATTTTCTCAAAAGAGGAAATAAAATAGTTATTTTTTTCTTCCATTTATGCATACTCACAGTGTATTATTTGATTGTCTATTTCCTATTCTAAAAGAAGTGAGTTGTTGTATGATGGTGTTCTGATGTGATTGATAAAACTCTCTCTTGTGTTATTTTCTCCATTTTCAATTCTCTTGCTCTCCATTTCCTATTGCCCTCTTTTCTTTACTGGCATTCTCTCAATAATCAAACCCGTTTGGGTGTGTGGCAAGCATGGTCTCCTGCGTGAAAGGGAAAGAATGACTTGGGAATTGAGGTGTCTGTGTAAGCTCGGCACCTGCATGCACTGTGCTGATTTTAGGGTATACTACATCCAACTCTGTTGTGCGAATCCTCTAGATTCCATAAGACCACTGGAAGGGTCTATAGCCGACCCTTTCCTGATCATCCAGTTGGACTAGATCTTTGACCTCTGCGGTGAGAGGAGGAGGGTCATAATTTCCCTCTGCGATGGGGGAAATGCACATCAACTCCATGCTACATCCCCACAGATATCTTTGCAGTCCAATGGAGCATCCTCCTGTTGGGCTTCATGGCAAGATGGAAGCAGCGTTTGATGAGAGGATGAACCTTTTATTCTGTATGGGAATACCAAACCTTATCCCATGCACCTTCCTGTAAGGAAGAGGACTCTTTACAAAAATATTGTTTCTGCGAAAGCTTAGGGCTCTTCTCCCATATCGTAACGAATGAGACAAATCACCTTGCTTCCGGTGCAACATTACGAATGACAACACGGGCCTGCAAGAGCAATGGCATTATATTTGTAACTGCAAACTTTTAAGTTTCTTGAATAATCATGTCCAATTTCGTGACTAGGCTCCAGTTTTTGGCCTACGTGATTAACGTAGATCATCATTAAGTGTGACCGATGCAATGCATTTTATTCTGAAGAAGTTTTTTGAACACTTTTAACATGTGATTTGATGCTTTGCTACATGTGTTGAAGTTGGTGATGAGGCTCTGGCCTTAGGCATTTCTGATTCATAATAATCATCCTTATAGCCTACTGTTCCTAATAATAAACCCTATTATAGCTTTCTGTTCGAGTCTATATATCTTGAAAAGAAATTTATTTTTCTCTCACAGCCATGCTTGACTCCTGGGCATTTTGATACTTCGTTACTTAGTTATCTATCCAAATATCTTTAAACGTTTGTAATATTGCTTGCTTATGTGTAATAGTTTTATTAAAAAATGTAATTGTTACATATGTACTGTTTGGGTTTATAAGCTTCGATGGTCAAAAACCAACCAAACTAGTATGTAAGGTTTGAAAATTGAAAATATGATGGTAGAACTTTGTTTTGGTGACATAAATTGATGAAAATTTACTTCTGCCTCCTGGAGAGAGGGAAGAATAAAATCAGGGTATGAGAGATCAGTCTGTTCTAGTAAGAACTTCAATAAAAAGACAATTTTACGTAAGATTAATTTCTGTATAATGTCGAATTTTGAACAGTTCTAAAACTGAAAATATTTCTGGGCCTATAGGGCAAAAATAAGCTAGAACTTGTACTCAAGAAAGTAATAGAAAAGTTCAAAGTACTTCCTTTTTAATTGTATTCCTTGCTGTAAATTATTTTTGAAGGATGGGGAAATAAAAAAAATCAACGAAAAGAACTTCAGCGTGTTTCCTAGAGACAAAAAAACAACAAAAGGGAAAACTGCCACACAAGAACACAAATTATTTTAGACATCAATAAAATAAAAGGAGCTGCTGGTTGCCAAATCAGCACATTAGTACTTTGATTTGCGAGAGAAAAATAAATCTCCGACCTCTGATTCATTCTGTGTTTCAATATGATCGGTACTTACACATGCTAGAGTTCAAGTCATGGACTTCAATTTTGGTTTTTGTATTTTTTAATCTGTTGTGTCACATCATCTTAATTATTCATTATTTAATCAACGCTCCACGTCTTAGCCCCTGATATAGTGCTTTTTCTGGAGTATCCTCCATTAATATTCTTCTGTAGTCCAGAGGATGCTTTATGTACTCTCGTCTCGTCAGTCAATTTGTCAAGGGGCCAGGTAGCATTACCCTCCACGCACCTCTTACACCATGTGTCACTACCCAGTGGCAAGAATTAGGAAGGAATTAGGAAAGGGATAGGTTTTAGGACACTTCACAGGGGTTGGACTAGCCCTGGTGAAAAAGGCAGACTTGTTTTGTTGGAACAAATTACACTCCCAGTAGGTCAGTTGACAAGCACTGTGAAAAGGGAGGGGAGGGGGGGTTACCTGGGAAATCATAGAAACTTTTTTCAACCGTCGTTTAAAAAATGTCTCTATGCATTGTGTGTGAAGTTAATTTATTGTTAAATCATTTGCTCATCGAGTTGTGTTGGTCAATGTCGTGACAGCAATATACAGAGAAGGCTCTCATGTTCCTATCTCAATTTTTCATCCTCTAGCATTTCAATTCACCTTCATTTTATTACTAGACGTCATTGTAATGGTGGCAAATTATTACTTTCTGTGGATTATCTGTTACTTTCCTTGGCACAGACCTGTGACCTTTAGATTTCGCTCTGGTAGTAAAGTAGCATGCATGGCAAATAGCAAATAAATAAGTAACAGATGTAGTAGTAACTGAATTTATTAGCAATTAAATTTGTTCTAATGAATTGACATTAAAAAAATTGTATACTCAATGAAAGTGAAGTATGTAAGAGAACCAATAATTCTAATATTTTATAGGTTTCAAACTTTCAAAACTTGTTTTAATGGTAATGAAATAGAATTTCTATAAAGAAAGTTGAAAGAATCAAAATTCAACATAAACAACAATTTGAAACTCGTGAGAATCAAGAATTCTGTAAAGCCTTGGTCCTCTTTATCTCGTGGGTCAAGATGCAGGGAGATAATTCTGACACGCCTTTGAATTGGTCACTGTCATTTCTCCCATGGACTTCTTTGCGGTGACCCACCCCCTACTTGCGATAGTTGCAATACGTGGAGCGGAGCATGTTCTCCTTCACTGTTCAAAGGTAAGAGATAGCCAGCGAAGGCTTCACTTTGCTATCTCTCTTGCACAGGTACTTGGAAATGGCAAATCTCTCTGCAATCTATTTAGCTTCTTACAAGAATCTGACATTTACAGCATTATCTGAGAGAGGAGATTATGCCAATTATTTGACTTACAATTTGAGATTTTTAAGTGTTTAGCTGGCTCTTTTCAGCCAACCCTGTTAAATAATAGAACAAGTTTATATTCAGTTTTACTTACATTTTACCTTAAAAAAAGTTTTGGTCTGGCACTGCTACAGTGCGTATTGCTCTTAAATTTATTATTTATTTTAAATAAAAAAATTGACATGAGCGTCAATGACCTTGGCTGTTGAAGCGCCCTTAAACGTTAATCATCATCACAACTAATGCGTTTACTGAAGGTAATATTGGTAGCTTGTAACCGCGACTCCAAGGCTCCTACTCCTAGGAAATGGAAAAAGAAAGTATAGCCTCAGAGAGATTTGAAGAGTAGAGAAGAAAGAATGTAGGCAAAGTTGAGGATACGTGACGAAGATAAAGCGAAATACTCCCTAGCCCTCGAAACCTAATAGCATCGCAGTTGAGAACATCAGGGATCCAGTGGGATCAAAATAGAACAATTGAAAGTAGTATGGCGCAAGGAAGTGGAAACATTGCCACACTAGAGACCATCCTCCTTTACCTGTGCTTGGGACCGGCAGCGACCACTTTTTTATAGATGATATTCGTCAGAAAAACTCCTTTTATGGTTGCTGATTCAGAACACGTAGGTTTTTCTTGAAACAGTACTACATTCATACTATATATATAAAAGAAAGTCGTGTTAGTTACTCCACTTACTCACTCAAGAACGGCTGAACGATTTAGTGACAATTGGCAGGGAGGTAGTTTTAGAGCAGGAGAAGGACATAGGATACTTTTTATACCGTAGACAGCATTCGTGTGACTTGACATGAAACGTCAGTCCTATAAACGTGGTATAACAAAAAGAATCAGACTTGGAAATAACAAAACGCAAATGACAGCTATTGTAATTGACGTATATGACAGAAATGTAATGAGTATGGATGACAATTTTCTATTTGTAAAGAAAAATATAAAAAAATAAATAAATATTTTAAAAACGCATAAACGGCATTAGAAGCATTAACCGAACATTAAAAGTTACGCAATGACTCGAGATTTTGGAGGAGATGATTTTACTGTCTAGCGCGATTTCCGCCAAATCTGCCAGTAATTCCAAGATCTACGCTGCGAACGAATAACGTTGCCTCAAATCGTCAATTTCTATGGCGCTATGTGATGAAACTGCAAGCTGACAACAAACAGAGTTCATTGCTTAATGATACATCTGCTGAAGATTCTCGGAGCATTGCTGACTATCGGTAAATTGGTCAAGTACCTGTTGATGAATCGAGCGATTAATATCTATTTCAAATAATTTCTGTAATTTTGTTCTCATCAAAGGACGAACTTATCACAAATGAATTTTTCCAGAAATTATTTCTAACTACAAAAATAATGAATGGTTGAGTTGAGCGAGCAAATTTTAGCGGCTAGATAAAGATGTAGATGACCTAAACTACATAATTCAAAAAATAAGATCATTGGAACAATGCATTCATTCAAATCTATAACTGCGTCACAAATGAAGATGACAGCCACCAAGTATCAATTGAATTTGTTAAACTCTTTGACCGCACACATTTACGCCTAAAGGTTGGCTCCGTAGTAATCATGCTTGCGAAACATAACCAACCAAAATGTGCAAAGGTACGCGTTTGGTGGTTAGAAAATTGATGAACAATGTAATTTACGCTACGATAATGATTAAGGAAATTCAAGGTGAGGAAGTTCTCATCCGAGGATACCGATGATCCAACCGATATGTCGTTTGAATTTAAAGATTCAATTTTCCGATACGTTTTGCATTTCCCATGACCACAACAATACAAGGCCAATCCTTAAAAAGTTTGTGGTTTACAATCTAGAAATCTCATGTTTTCCCATGGTCATTATACGTGGCACGTTCAGCGGGTCGGAAGACCAATCTGCGTTGGTTTGTTTTTGCGCCTGATAATAAACAAAACATGTGTGTATCACAAGGTTACTTATGAAGACAACCTATGTACTAAAATACAGAAATAATTTATGAATGATTAATGGTAGGTATTTAATTTTATTTGTTATTTTTTCAATTAAAAAAAAACTGCTTATTTATTGCCATTAAGGGGAAAAGTCGCAGGTGTAACATAGTTTCTCAATAAATTACACAGTTCTACGCATATACGACTCAGGTTTTTGATCAAACTTCATATTCTCTGGAACTATCTGACAGAGGCCAATCTGAATTTGGAAAAGGGATATTTTAACGTTTTGGGGAGTACTGTAACAGAAATGCAAAATTGCGCTATATTTCTTTCAAAAGTTTACAAATTTGTGCTGAAACAGCTGATTAAAAATGCACAAATCGATTTTATTCAGAATTAATTCTCTGAATTTCTGAAAAAAAAATCCTGTTTACGCTATTTTCGACCCCTTCCGGGTATTCCTGGGATTTCGTGAACCTGCCGAACACTTGCGCATGACTGGTTGACTAACAGCCAGGGGCAAATATCACACGCATTTTTAAAAAGTGATTATATTGAACCCCGTATGCACTCTTGACGCTTGTAACATTTATTCTACACTATGCGGGCATTGTTCATATC